TGGCAAATCTGGATAGACCTTGGAAACCGATCGCTATGGACTTCATTGTAGAGCTACTGGAAAGCAACAAGAAAATGGTGATCTGGGTAATCATGGACTTGTTTTCCAAACAAGCCCATTTCGTGCCATGCGCGCCCATTCCTTCCGTGAAAAAACTAGCCAGATTATTTAAACAACATGTGTACTGGGCGCACAGAGTTCCCGAACGAATTTTGACCGACCGCGGAACACAGTTCACCTCCAAGTTCTGGAGGGAGTTTATAAAGCTAATTGGGTCGAACTTCGCACCATCCCCAGATGGATGGATCCTGTGAACGTCTGAACTCGGTGTTAGAACAATACTTACGGTGTTTTGTTAATTATCAACAAAACAATTGGGTGGAGCTTCTACCTTTTGCCGAAGTCGCTCACAACAACGCGGTTCATCAAAGCACAGGATTCACCCCATTTAAAATAGCTAACAGGCAGGATTTGTACTGATTCCAGAACTTCCTCAAAAACCTACTCCAGCGCTTTCAACAGATGAATGGATGAAACAAATGATGGACATATGGCCCCAAACTAACAAAGCCCTGCAGGAGGCGAGAGACTGTTATAAAAAGTATGCTGATCGCAAGCGATCCCCTGAGAAAGATTGGAAGGTGGGAGACAAGGTGTATCTATCTACAAAAAAACTTCAAGTCCTCACAACCATCAAGCAAATTAGCACCCAGATTCCTTGGACCCTTCCCAATAGAGAACGTAATTAACCCAGTTGCTTTTAGATTACAACTACCAAAAAAATCTCAGGAGGATTCACCCTGTATTTCATTGCAGCTATTTGAAGCCGTATAAAGAATCGGCACAGTGGCACACAACTCAGCCACCACCCGATCCATTGATGATTGAAGGGGAACGACATTTTGAAGCAAAAGAAATTTTAGACTCCAGAAACCATAGAGGGGACATACAGTTTTTAATTCAGTGGAAACATTTCCCTAAGTCTTACTGTGAATGGGTTGCAAAAAAGAATGTAAAAGCACCCCAACCCCAAAAGTCAAAGAATTTTACAGGAAATATCCAGATAAACCCAAATAGTGAATTGTATATATGTATATACATGCGTGTTTTCTCTCCCCCCCCCCCCCATTTCATTACAGGACTCCAAATTCTAGAACCCAGTCTTTTCTCCAGAGGGGTGGCATGTCAGAACCTCTGCAAACAAGCAACTGCCCTGCTGGCTTGTTTACTTCGGTTCTGCCATTGAAATGCTAAGAGGGTAAGGGGAGAGCTGGCAGACACCCAAGGGCTATCATTGCTTCTCAACGGGAGACCAAGTTATCAGGTGTGAGACAACAGGAGGAGCAGGGAAATCAACAGAAACCAGACAAGACAATTTGAGAGACATAGAGGCGGGGGGGGGGGGGGGGGGAAAGGGG